CACAAATGAGTGGAGTATATTTCAGTATTTCTTGTTTCAATTTATAGCACTGTTGGAAGAAATATTGAATATTTCACATTAATAAGGAACTCGGGGCAAAAGGAGACTATCTGAAAGGTGAAGTGGTTGGTCGGTACTGAGCTCTCCTTGCCTGCTCTGTGTCTGTTTTAAGGGGTATTTATTCAGCACTAGTTTTACTCTCTTCCTTTGGACTGCATGTCCTTTAGAAATTGGAAAACAGACTGTGTTCCTGAAGAGTCAGCTTAGTTTCATCCATAAGTAAAATAGCTCACACTCTCAAAGGCTGACCCAATTTGCAATCCAAAATGTGGTAAGTGGGGGCAATTGGGAAATTCATTTTAGAACCACGCTCCTAATCTGAACTAAAACATGAATGTGCTGATCAGCGATTCATTTTGGTGTTTCCAAATGTCACACTGTGTATAACTGTGTTATTCCCAGACTGTAGTTTGGTCCTGCTACATTTTAGCAACAAATATAATTCACAAAGAGATTGTGATAAAAAATGTGCATCTGTGATTATATATGACAGCAGAGAATCCAAAAGAAAACACAGAGAAGTGAAATATCACTCTTGTATTTCTTCTTTCCCACCCTCAGAAGCAGACTGTTTTCCATAAATCAGGAAGCCAGTACCTCCTCTGCTTCATAACTGCATTGTTTCTTACAGTTAAAGGAGTCTTTTCTTAGGAATGTGAGAGAAACTCATGGCTACTTTGGATCCTTCCCATCTTTTATGTACACAAAGAAAAATTAATTCACTTGGTTATTATAGGGTATAGTTAGAACAGTTGTCAATGGTAGAACTGGGTTAAGAAAAGACTATCCAAAGTGGCCAAGAAAGGGAATAAATGCTGAACAGCATTTATTTTTTAACAGTTTTTTTAACTGAGACATTAATTTACAATTTTAACTGAGACTGAATAATCTCCTCTGATTCAAGCAGAAAATAATCCAGATACATTGTCTCATTTTCTTGCTACAACTGAAAGCAAGCCAATTCAGTCCTGAATATTAAGGATTTTCTTTTTCTCACTAAAACTGCTCACCTGCTTTATGCTCCATTGTCCCCCACTGCTTACAGAATCACAGCATCATGGAACAGCTGGGATAGGAAGGGACCTCTGAAAGTTGTCCTGTCCAAACCTCTGCTGAAGCAGGGCCACATACAACCAGTATTCCTGGACTAACTTCTGCTATTTAACATATAAACACATAGGCTAAGAACAGAAGGGGTGGAAGCAAGGCAGAATTTTTATGTTCTTTTCTTGTGATTGAAACACCAGCATAACAGAAATTTAGAATTTTAGATTCAAAAGCTTTTCTTCTGTCTGTTTAAGAAATTGTCCAATACTTCACATAGATCTCAATTGGCTGAGTTTTTGTATTGATTTTTGGGCAATTTGTTTGTATACTGCTGTTTCTGACAAAACTGTTCGAAACACTTGCATGCATATTTGTCTTTTTTCATTTAAAATCTCAATTTGAAAATGTTTCATAGAGTTTAAATTGGTCTACAAATGGGTGATCTCCTTTCTGCCATACCAGCCATCACTGATCAGTGTCTTAGGTTAGCCTAAAGATGTTAGACCACAGGAAGGAAGTATTTCATATCTTGCTGAATAAAACATTCTGTGTTAAAACATTCTGTAAATAAAACATTCTGTGTATTGCCCAAAAAATCAATAGAAAAACTCAGCTGTGAATGTGAAGAGAGAGGCTGACAGAACATGCTATATGAAGAGATTGCCATATAATGGATGGTTTAAAACTACAAAGAATAAGATTGTATGTACTGAATAGAGGAACGTAATTATGTGTGGTTGTCTTGCTTATTTTTAAAAACAAGATTTCACCTGACAACCAACATAGAACTAATAAAAGTGCAATTCTAATCTAAAAGTGTAGCTGTCATTCCATGTAATAAAATAAGGCATTGTTCTTACTCTAAGGTAAATGCAAAACATAAAAAACACCCTTAAACTCATTTAAAAATCGATAGAATTCTTATCAAGTAAAATCCAAAGGCTTCCAAACAACACTAAGGTGCCATTTGAAAAAATTGTTTATGGTCATTATGTTTTTCCTTTTTTTTTTTTTTTTTTTTGACTTTTAATGTTTGATTAAATGTGATTCACTTTCTCTCCTTTAGTTTACTGCCTAGTAGAAGTGCAAGGTTCTGGTGATTGGCTAATTAAGGATGAATAAAATGCACACTATAAAAATTTATTCATACAATACTAGGGTAATGAAAGATCACTCACCACAGTGGGTGAGCTACTACCTTATTAGAAAAAGCATTTATCAAACCTGACATAAACAGATTTTGCAACAAAATGAAACATAAAGCCAGTAAAAGGGTAGTGAACTCTCTACAGAGGTGAGATCTGCTGAGTTAGAAAGTGATTTTGACCAGTGTCTAACTTCAAACCCTATGTCCTTGCTTATAAACACATTTGAACAAGCTTTTAGCATTCCACTATGTATATTCTGAGATATCTCCTTAAGGTCTCATTGCTAAAGAGAACATCCAATGGCCAATGTGGCTATGCCTCAGCTATTTTGTGGATTTCTCCCTCCATAATGAGGGAGACTGATTACATTTTGGCATAAACATACTTGGTAAGTACGACTTGGTGTTTCTCAATACTACTGCAATTGTGTCCTTAAAATTAAGAGTGACAATCAAAAGAGATCTAAGAACTTCAGAGTTGAAAACACCCTATTTCAGAAAAGGAAAAATGTTGAAACTCACTGTTATATGATGTGACACAGCACATTTCACAGAACAGCGAAATCAGCTGTTTTGTGCCTACTTGTTCTATAACCTTTTTTTTTTTTTTTAAAGTAACTATAGCTTGAAACTTAGCCATATGGATGTCTGCATCATCCTGCAGAAGAAACATCTGACTATGTATAAACATTCTTATGACAGGTTTCAACACTACCCTTTTTCAGTTACTCTACTGTTGCTTGACTAGAGGCAGTCTGAACATCTGTATTATAGAAGTTTATCCTATGGATAAATCATGTGACTTTCAATTATTGGACAAATAAAGTTCTATAACTTGTGGTGGAAGAGCATAAGGAAGGTCAGAGAAAGTGCTGAGAGGGTTAGAAAGCAAAGCAGGACAGTTTATTAAGATTAACAGCTGCAGACTCGATGTTGCTAATTCACCTAAAACATAGCTGAATCCTTTTGTGAAGTCTTATATCTTCTGTATTCCTTATCATAAGTAGCTTACTGCAGAACCCTGCAGCAAAATCCTGTTCTCTTCTCACACAGCAGGAATTTGAAGAGCTCAGTCAGGTTGGCTGGGCTGAGGGCTGGCTGGCTGGTCGAATGGATGAATTCTGGTAGCCAAGATCACCTCAGACTTACCCTACCATGCATGCCGCTACTGCTGACTGCATTCTATGCATCAACAGAAGACACAGTCTTGATTTCAGACTACGGGGCAGACAATCCACAACCTGAAAAAAAACAGAGGTTCTTTATTAAATTAAGGCGATTTACTGGGAAAACCACTCAATAAATAAATAAATAAATAAATAAATAAATAAACAAATAAACAAACAAATAAATAAATAAATAAATAGTTAAATAAATAAATAAATGACCAGGCTTTCTCATCATTCACCTTCCAGAGCAACCACTGCTTCTCTGTGCTGTTCCAAAGGCTATAAGGGTACTCACCCCATTAAAAGGTGTCCTAAAGACAACAGGCCTCCCGGCTACGGTGTCACTGCCCCCCAGCCCGGGTCTACCTTCGGGCTGGGGGACAAGACTCGCTCCGGCCCCAGCGGTCAGCCCGGCCCCGCGGGTGCGGCCGCCCGCTCCGTGCCCGGCCGCGGGGCCCCGGCACACGGTCATCGGCGCCGTCCGACCTGCGCTCACCTCCCCGGTACCTTTCCGCACCCGCGCAAAGGAGGACCCTGATTGTATTTCGTTTTTATTTATTTATTCTACAGCTAAATTTTATTTATTTATTTATTCTACAGCCTCATCCCCGACACCCCCACACCACTCCTCCCTCCTCTCCCCGCCCCGGCTGCGCTTCCAGACACACTTTTCTTGTGTTAAACGGCATGAGCATCAGGTTGCGGGCAAGGCGGAGTGGGGCCGGCCCCGCCTCCGAGGCACTGCTGCGGCGTGGGGTGCCCGGGCTGGCGATACCTCGGGTCCCTTGGTTCTGCCCCCATCCCCGCCGGGGTCGGCGGCTTACCCGCGCCGGCTATTCCCCAGCCTGGCCGCATCAACGGCGGTGCAGAGAGCCCGGGGGATCCTATCCGGCTCCCCTCTCACTTCTGTAGCACAAATCTTCCCTTCTCCTCGGCCCTCCACGCCGCCTAAGCGGTGCGCTTTGCCCCTGCCCATTCCTGCCGCCCTCCCCTCGGCCCGGCCGAGAGTGCCGGGGCCGCGGCGCTGAAGGAGTGAGGTGCCGCTGCCGCGGCTCTGCAGGGCCAGCTCCCGGGTCCAAAGGGGGGAGACAGCCTTCTCTGTTCATCCACTCCTCCTCCCCCCTTTTCCGTTGAGAACGTTTCAGCTTCTTTCAGTACTCTTACTACGTTTCCGTACTCTGTTCCCTTTCCTTCCCGCCCTGACCAATAGCCCTCCGCAATCTCGTCAAACGGATGGGTGTTTGGGGTGGGACGTAGCTGGGGAGGATAAACCTCTAGAGGTCTACACACGGGAGGAGGGCGGGAGAGAAAGAGATTTTGCAGTCGTTTCTGGGCTGATTGGAAGAGGCAGTCGTTATATGTATGGCTGGAGGATTAGCAGATAAACTTTTATTGCTCCCTTTTGTGCGTGTGTGTGTGCGTGTCTGTATGCGTGCGTGGTTGTGGGTGTGTAGATAAAGAAGTCGCCTCACAAGGGGGAAAATCTTTCCAATTTCCCTTTAGCAGGTGCAGGTCAAGGAGGAACTCATGAGCATTCTGTCTGATCCATGCACTGATTAGGGGAGGGGAAAAGATCCCTCTCCTCTTACTCTTCCTTTCCCAGTTTTGAAATCATTCCTTCCCCACCACTGCCGCCCTCCCATCCATCCCCTCCCCTTCCCCTGCACTGAATGAATGGAAGAGTCTCCAGGGCTTTCTTCTGCTTCTCGCCCTGGACTGAAGAAGTGAGGGGGCATCTATCTATCCTCATCCATCTCTTTCTCGCTTCATCCATTCTCGAGGGGATTTCAGATCGTGCAATGTGTTTCCAGCCTCTTGCCGCTGCTACCACTTGATACTATGCGACGCGCAGGGAGAGGGTTTTGCAAAAATGGATTTATTCTATTTTAAAGGATTTCTTCTCTAATAAGGATCTCATTGCACACAAATATGACTAAATCCCCTATTTGGTAAATCTTTCTCTACCCCACCCCTCCTCTTTGGGTTCCCTCCCGCCCGCGCCCCCACCCCTTCAGAGGAGCAAGCACAGGGAGCTGATGACGGACCCATTAATCCCTTCTTCAATGCATCAAAAGAAGCCGAAGGGCTGGAAGTCGCTGGGCTCGGAGTCCTGCAGGAAATGCTTCGATCTGCTTTTGGTTCTGTATGAAACTGGTGACTAGGGGCTCGGCTCGCTCCGCCGCCGCCGCCCGCCGGCACCTGGATGCGCGGGCCGCCGCCGCCGCCTTGCCCGCCGCCGCGATGCAACGCTCCTGGCGGTGCTGGTGATCGCTCGGGTGTGATGGGATTGAGCCGGCGGTGATCATTTGAAGGCGGTGGGGGAGAGCGAGGGAGAGGAAGGGCTGCTCCGCTGTGCCGTGCGTGTGGGGGCTTCGGGATTTTTCTTTTTCTTCTTCTTTTCCTACTTCCATCCTCTCCCCGCCACTGGAAGTCCTCCCGTATCTAAATGGAATTAGTGGAGACCGAAGCCCCTTGTGTAAGGAACAGACATGACCCATGGGCGCAGCTTCCTTCACAGTGAGTATTTGTCTCCCCCTTCCCAGCCCACCACCGCCGGCCGAGCTCCCCCGCCGCGCACGGGCTCCTGCCCTCCACTGCCCCCACAGCTGGCGTGACGGGACGCCCAGACTTCCGCGGCGCGGGGAAGAACTCTCCCCAGGCACACGCAGCGCTCTGTACACCCCCGGTGCAGCGGTGCCCCGGGAGGGAGCCCGTGTCTGCCAGCGCCGTGGGACGGCGGGACACGCTCCCGAGGGCTGGAGGGTTTCACCTGGGCGCGACGCATCTGGTGGCTTTTGGCATGCCGGGGTGGAGGGGGCACGGCTGCGCTACCTCAGCCGTGGCTCGGCCCGGCCGTGGGGGTGCGGGGCAGCGCAGAGAGCGGGCAGCCACAGCGGGCACGCATCCCGCAGGTCTGGGCGGCGGGGGCGGCCCCATGGGCCGAAATCCTCCAGGAGTAGCGAGGAGGCACCGAAATGTATCACCTACTCGTCGAACACCCGCAGGGATCTCAGGCTGCGCGGGTGGGATCCCATCTCCCACCTCTGTTTTGCGGAGGCTCCGCTGCACTGAAGGGGCTTGTCTGGGCACGGTGCCTTCCAGCACTTCCCCCTTCGCCCACACCTGTACAATAGCGCTATGGCCAGGTATTGCTCGTCCAACAACTCTTCGCTAGGCTAAGCCACGTCTGTGTGCCAAATCACAGCCTCCTAAAAGCCTAGCCAAGAGATAAATCTCTTGATGTACAGCTTGTAATGAAAAAAAATACACAGGTCCAAAAAGAGGAAAGATGCGTAATCAGAATGGCACTAGAAAGCATGATTATAATTACAGCCACGATTAGGAGGGAAAGGAGGAGGAGGAAGACAGTGAGAATGCAACAAGAATTTTGGTGGAAACTTCTTTAAAATAATTCCCAAACCGAGATAATCAAAATATTGTTGCCATGCTGCCAACGCTTCCCAAGTGACAGTTTTCAATGAGTGAAGGTTGCGTGGTTGGTCTCTTCGGGGTCGTTTTTTTTTTGTTTTTTTTTTTACCCCTTTGTGAAAAACACTGTTCTTTTTCTGTGGCTTGAGGAAGAAAAAGGCAGGCAAGGGATCATAGAATAAAATGGTCTGCCTTGTCTGCTTGATTAAAATATATTGTGCTGTCATGTCCCATGAAGCCCATAATTTTAATTACTTTTTGACAATATACATATTTTGGTGCCTTTGGTGTTAATAACACTAAATCAAGAGTTTTGTGTAGGGTTTTTTGCGTGGTTTTTTTGCGGTTTTGTTTTTGTTTTGTTTTGGTTTTTTGGTGTGAGTTTTTTTTTGGACGTGTTGTGTGTATGGTTTTTTAATATGGGAGAAGTATCTCTCTTTATCAAAATGTTAGATGTGGTAAGTACAGAAGAAAAACCACAACAAACTTAATCTCTTAGTCTCTTCTTCTGTATTAGATTTTATTATCAAGATTGACTCCTTATTAATAATCAATACTGACATAATGTCATGTAAGTATAGCTTTGTGCTTAGGAAAAACATAGCTCTGTGATTCGGAAACATCCTTTCTAGTGCTTACAGCTGAAACTGAAAGACCTGTGTTTCTTTCTGTAATCTTGGTAATAACCTATCTATGACTTGGACCAACTCTGTACTGAACTCCATTTTTTTCCATACAGAAAAGGAGGGGAGAGTGATTAGATAAAGATGCTTGAAACGAACCTATAAGAATCAGACATTAATTGTTATCAGTTGTCTAAAAAGAAACATTTCTCACATGGAGTTTGTTTGGCTATTGTGCGTCCTATTTTAACTTCTATATATTTGTGGGCAGAAGGAACGCCAGCAGCTGGTTCCATATTCTAAACATCAATCCACCTTACACTATTGAGAAATTAGGCTTTGGCTGGTGAAGATTACAGGCATAGATACAGTATGTTCACTGTGTGAAACATAGCTAAAGTAAATCACCAACTTAGTAAATGGGTGATTCCTGCATTGCCTTCAGATTCTGACACAGCCAGCAGCAGAGTCCCAGCTAGCATATATTTCCAGAATTCAACCCTGAGGAGAGTAAGGGTATGAATGGCTGGGTAGCATTCAGATCTGAGCAGAAGATGTAGTGTTCTCACTGAATGCCCATGACACAGAAGAGTTTTTAACTATCAGCACTGCCAACATCCGTCTCTAGGGGCTGTTAGCCTGACTAAGAAATAGTGAATATGCTGCCAAGCCTTCATTTCCCCCGAATTTCAGCCTTTCCCTGCTTAATAAGGCAGCCACCATCTATGTCTGTAACCCTCTGTCACATGGGAAAGGTCAAAGACATAGAAACAGATACCTCGATGCCATCAGAATACTGCAAATATGGAGACAGCCTTCCTTCATGGTGAAAATTACACACAATTTGCAGTATAAAAGCTGAAAATGATGAAAGCACCTTCTTTGAAAGGATCGTAGTTACCATCCCATGGTGGCCTTTCGTGTTTCTTGGGGTTAATAATAAGAAAGTTTGCCATTGAATTACATTTGTTAAAGACCACAGGTCCATCAGTTCCTCATCATAATCAACAACACAAATGGCAGCTGATTGATGTATAATGCTCAGAATAAACATGCAACTTAATCTCTGCCTTAACTTCAGTGCAGCCTGGGCACTATGTTTGGGCTTAGTGCCAAACTAGCTGGGGTAAAGCACCAAGCACTCCAAGAACTGATGGATCTGTTCTCTTCTGCTCTTGCTGTCCCACTTTCTCTGATAGCCAGAAGAAATGAGTGATGACAAGAAGATCAGTTCATGATTTCTTTATCAGGTAGCTAACTAGTCACTTCGATCTTCCAAATCAGTACCGTTATGACTGACCAAAGTGTTTGCCTCTTAGCCTTTTCCAGTTTAAGTGTTATATTTGGAAACTATTCCCAGGAACTCAGTAATTATCTCCAAGTCGAAGTCCATCTCAGAAAGGTCACATTTGTTCCCAAGAGGAATAGTTGTCCTATCGTGGTTGGAGATAGGAGATTTCTATTTGTAAAATGGGCTGCAGGTTCACTGCAGCACAAAGCAACACCCCACTGACAAGTCAAACAAACTAGATTAATGAGGCTGTTAAGCATACACAATAATTTACTTCACTAGGGATTTGCAAATGCTTCGATGGATGTGAAGAACCCAACCCCTCACTTCTTTCATACTCCCAGTACTCATTTTCAAACTTTATTATGCTGTAGTGAGAGACATTAGTGAGTACAGTGGCACTGAAACTTAACAGGCCTTTGTCTCCCTCTGTTAAAAGCAAACACTTTTCTATTACTGACACATACTGTGATTATACAAATATTTGTAAAAATATTTTTCTTTAATATTAAAAGAAAAGAAAAATGGAATGGATTTTGTTTTAAACCCAAAAGATCTTCTCTTTATTTGGATACGTTTGCAAAGAAAAATATTTACAAGAATAGGCTACAAAGAAACTTGTTTATGCAAAATTTTCAATTTAAAGATGCAAGTAAACATGAAAATTTTTTTTACAGTAATTCTATTTAATTTGTATTCTTGTAAGATAGATGGGTACAAATTGATTGCAGGCACAATCACACTGTGATATTTAATTCATATTTCTCTTTCAGTTGTAGCAAGTCTAATCATCCTACATTTGTCTGGGGCAACGAAAAAAGGAACAGGTAGGTAAACTTCAGACTTTTTTTTCTGACGGTATATTAGAGACCAAAGTATGGATTTGAGTTATTAGTTTAGGGTTTGGAATTTTTAGTAGTTCATTTACTTTCAGTGTCTGTGCTTTGTCTATGTATTCACATGCCTGGACATACACAAAAAAATCGAGTACTGGCAGACTCGACTGTAACTAAAGACTAAAAGTACTCCCTAACTAAAGACAGTAAAGTACTCCCACTTTCAAACTGGGAAGCCTAGTTTGGGCATGGAGCTACATACACTTAAAATATTTTTGCTTGTTGAAGTATAATTAAAAATCTGAGCTCGGGTATTGTGGGTGCATTTGTGCAGGGTGGGTAGAGAAAGCTGTTCTTGAAAGCCTTGGATGATCAGTGTGATGAAGCCCAAGCAGGGTAATGCTGCTAAGCCCATTGTGTGTCTGAACCTGCGTCTGCATGCACAGTCCCTGCAGGCCTGAATTCATTTCAGGAAATTAGGCTCCGTGTCATACTCTGCCTGGATACAGACCAGGAAGAAAAAGAAATGCTTGCAGACTATGAGTCAAAACTCAGGTGGTTAAAATCACCCTTGGAAGGTGCCTGTTTCCCTCCACTGATTGTAAGAGGAAACCTCAAATACCTGACTCTACATATCAGGGGCTTAAGTTAGATGGGACACCTTTGGTTTTAGGTGCTCCTTTGGAGCAAAACCAATCTAGAACCTACTATCTTTCCTTTTAATGGCTACCTAGGCATATTTGCCTCTGAAGAATCTATCTCATTTTAGCCTACTTGTTAAAGCATGGTGTCTAGGAAGGGTTCCTGCATCTTCTTCAGCTTGAACAGACCCAAACCTTTGTCTCCAGTCTCTCTGCCAGTGTGCAGAAAGGAGCGCAAGCAACTCAGGGCTAGGAGGAAAGCAAACAAGTAGGTCTGACTCTGCTCTCTGATGATTCACCTAGGAGGAGGAAAGTTCTTCGATGTGATTCCTGGCCTCAGAGCTATTTATTAATTGTACAGCAAACAGCAAAAATCTATGAAATCTATAAACCAGATTTCAGGAATTCCCCTGTCTACTTCTGTCCAATGAATATAGAATAAAGATGCTGCAGATTTAAAACAACTTGTATACACTATCTTAATTCTCTGGTTTTTTGGTTTTTTTCTCTTGATTTTGTGATTCCAATGTATTCCTGTATTACGGCATGAAGCTTGCTAATAGAGAACATGCTTGAGGTTTTTGAGATATATGAGTGGGAAACTTATGTCTTCCATTTCTTGAGCACATGCTTTCCCTACAGGTTATTATTTAAAAAAAATACATATATGTCTCCCCCAAGATATCCAAGCCTCTCCTCTGCTTTGAAAAAAATGTTTTGAGTAAGAATTATATATTTGTACTCCTAAAGAACTACATTGTTTTCCCCCGGGTCCATGATCATACCCAGTCTCAATGGGAAAATAGCTTGAGGCCACTGACAGAAGGGACTGTTTTATTTATCCTGTAAGAGACTTCTAAGTGTCACATAGACATAATAATCTGTGAGCTAATTGCATAATGCTTGATGTCATCATTTCACAGAAAAGCAAACTACTTCCGAAGGACAGAAACCAGTGCAGTGTGGAACTTGGACCAAATATGCAGAAGGAGGCATCTTCACTTCTCCAAATTACCCCAACAAGTATCCTCCAGACAGAGAGTGTGTCTACATTATAGAAGGTGACCAAATGAGGAATCTTTGTATTTTATTAGTAACTGCATTAAAAAAAAAGTTTTACTTTATTATATGTGAAGAATAGGTAAAGTTGTGGTAGATAAAGCTCATGATAAATCTTTTCAAGACACAAGATTTAGAGAAGCTCTTGATTTATATCTTGACATCTCTCATAAATTAGTTCAGGTGGTAAGTATGCATGACTCAGTACTAAACACAGTACAATTTATTTCAGGATATTCAGAGAATGAATAGAACCTAAAATGCAGCCACATTACGGAAGAATATTATAAAATGAGTAGTAAAAATGGGCACAGGAAACAAAAATACTTTAGACATTCATTGAAATATTTTAAACTTATAATGGAATCAGGGATGACAAGCATAGCTAGGCAAAGTACACTAAAAGAACTCATACAGAAAATATCAAAATAGTGTAAAAATTATTTTCCATCTAATGGTTCATGAGAGTTATTTTACTAAAGATTCAGGTAGTATCAAGACAGATTTCCAAAGGTTAGAGCTGATTAAATTGAATTAACTGTATTAGACCCACCTCCGCTATGCCCTTTTAGAAAGGCAAAAAATCACAGCAAAATGACTGAATTCCACTTTAGTGCTAGGCAACTTTACTTGAGTCAGAAGTAAAGAGGTGGTTATAAGTAACAGAGCCAAACAAGGTCTTTAAAGAAAATTTATGTCTGTCAGTCTTCCCATAAAAGTATGAAACTTAAGCAGACCTTTGGTAAACATTTAAATTTTCTCATAGTTAAGTAATTATTTTAAAATATGAATAAATTTAATAAAAAAATATGAATGTGTAGGTTGAATATGTACAACTTTTTTTTGTTTCTTTGTTTGTTTTTTTGTTTGTTTTGTTAGATCCAGGACTTTTTGCATCCGTTGATCAAATTATTTAACCTTCTTGGGGACTGGGAAGAACTAAGCTTGTTTTATCTTCAAAGATCTTAAATACAGGGTGTTTTATCATTAAAGAGAAAGGGTGTAGAAAAAAAAAAAAGAACATTTTCGTAAACTTTAGTCCTGTATCTCAAGTGTAAGATATTCCTCCTCACAGTAAGAAGGTGCCTGAACCCCTATTGTTGTAAAGACTTTTGTTTTTATCATAGTAATTGAGTACTTATAAAAATATAGGTAATAAGCTGAAAGGTGGCAAAATACACTGTTGAAATAACCCGATTTAAAATGGCTTAAAATTGAAATGTCTGTAAACAATTTATGAAGGCAAGATTTAGTCAACCAAGTTCTATAATGAAGACAAAATTTCACGTTGACAGGTTTGGAGTAATGTATAGGAAAAAGAGTAATTCAAACTTAACAGACGTCTTGTTGTTATATTTCATGGGAAAACTCAATCTGCTAAAAACAGTTGCACATAATTTTTTGTAGCTCTGATATTTTCATCTTCCCATCCAGCTGGATGGACAATTTGGATTGCAACTGGACATTTTGAAACCCAAAATTAAAGCAGCTCTATCGGTGCATAATTTGATGAGAACCATGGATATTGCACAACATTTTCAGCTCTGATTGCCCCGTGTCTATTTCTATCTTCTAAAAAAACCATGAATAGTCATGTCTGGAAAATGTCACAAAAATGAACAGAGATATAGTAAGATGCCTGAGCAGTAATATTTTTAATGTGGCAGATTTCAAAAAAGGCAAAGAAGCACTGAAAGTTAACAAAGATTATTTTTTAAATACCATTAAATTACAAAAAATCATTATTTGTCCATACTTATTCTTTTTCAATGTGTAAAAATGGCAGAGAATGATAAGAAGGCTACCAAGTATAAACTTTTCCCCATATCTTTTATATTCTATGGAACTCATTGGCATAAGGTATTGAAGTTAAAAGATTGCAAAAAATGATTAATTATTTTACTGATAGCAATATCTTTGAGATCAGATAATAATCTATGAAAATTGTGGGTAATCCTGGCTAATGAAGGATGTAAGTATTTTAGACTAAGGCAGAAACATCTCCATATGCATTTTATTTTTATATTTAGTATTGAAATTCCAATATGCTTCAAATAGCTTCTGGGTGCTCTTGAATACCAAGTACTAAACTAAAGGGATTGTCTATGTGATCTGTAATAGCACTGCCACATTGCAAGTCTCCCCTTCGTATGTCTTAGAAAGTTCAGCATACCAGGACTGTATATATACCATGCTGAAAACTGTGTGATGTGAGTATAAATGTATATATGAATCACTAGCTTCCTTCCTGACTCCTTCATTTTTTGCTATCAAACACACTCTAGGCCAAATTCTGATGGCTTCCTTCAAATGCAGTTCCTACTGACTTTAGTGGTCTTAAGTAAAGACTCCAACATTTAGCATGTTGTAGAAAAATTGAATTTCATCTCATGTTACAACTTTTTTCCTCCACATTGTAGCTCGTCTTAAATGTATGCAAGCCTTTTATCATGTCAGAATTACTTTGGTGAAGTAAAGGAGTTGGAAAAAGTAGGCATGATCATAGACTGAATATCTGAAAAAAGAAGAGGATTTCTAACTGCAGAGACTTCTATCCTAGCAGTCAAAGATTAAGCAAATCAAACAGCTAGAAGTTTCTTAGATATTTTTTCTTTTTCTCTTTTCTTTTTTTTTTTTTAAACTTCTGTTTCAGTAGCAATGATAATTAGCTGTTGGAGCAACTAGGAATTTTAAAGCCCAGGTTGAATGCCTTTCTAAGAGAAATCCTTTAGTTCATCTAGAAATCATGGACTCTGTACAAAAACTGTTATGCTATAGAAGAATGTCATGAACGAGTGCAGAATAGCTGCAAACACTGCAGCTTGGTGGGGAGGGATGCACCACCACAAGGAACTTCTGATGAATCCCATCTGCCTTTCTAAATGCAAAGGGAGTTTGTTCTTTTTGTCTTTTTCTTTCAGTCTTATTTGGCGTATAGAAGACATAGGAAATAGCTGAATGTACACATTAAACTCCCTCTTCGGCCAAATTGCACCCTTATTTTGCATATTCATGGTTCTAACCTGGCAAAATTCACAGCTGCCCAGAGCAATTGCAGCAGTGACAGCATTAGCCTTTGCCAGACTGCGGAACATTTGGCATGTGTGCTACAAATGGAAATTTGCACAGGAGATTTTGTAGGAGCAAAGGCTTTTGCTTGTATTAAAAATATTTGGGGAGTGGTATAGTCATACTTTATACATTATAATTTGAGAATTGTTTTGGAAATTCTGTAAGTGAAGTACTTGTAAGATTTTATCAGTTCATTAGTTTTTAATAATTAAGCGTTTATTTATAAATAGAGGTATGGACCAGAATTTATTTACATACAGGTATGAAATAAATATTCCATTTTATGTGTCTGTGGACGTTTAGAGTTAGCACTTTTGAAGGTCTTCCACGTTCTCACACAAGACCATTAAACTCTTTAATCCTAGATATTTCACAGCTGTTAGAAAACATTCACGTTATCACTGTAGTATTTCACAGTGATTTTTGTGTTCAAAAAGTTGTCATCAAAACAAAAAAAGAATCCTTTTTTAAAAGGAGGATGTATGTGTCTTTCTTATCAATAATAGCAGGACAACCAGAAAGACTGAGGATTATTAAAAACTATTAGTAGGGTAGCAGCTCAGAGAGATGGGCGTAGGTGTTAAATTCAGTTTCTCATTTCCATGCAATGTGGCAAACTGAAACAGATTTTTCACTTAACTTCAGCTGTCAGTTACACAGACTTAGAGACTGATCAGAATTAAAACCTTAATTGTGGGGTTTTGCTGCAACTGTTCTACTGCAAGCTAGAATTGGGTACCTTTTTTGTTTTCATTGGATATAAAATCTCAAGACAGCACTTGTGTAAGATAATTAGGTGAAAAATATGACAAGACACGAAAGCATTAAAAGTAGTCTTTCCTTGGTATTAAATATTTTTGAAGAAATGTAATTGGTAGCTAAGTATAGAAGATTTTTGAGATTTGAAATAAAATAATTTTATGAGACAGTTTCAATATATTTCATTTGGAGTTGACAACATCTTTTCCTGACATCATAGCCACAGAAAAAGTTCTGAAGATGCAAATGGGCTTTACTTGTGAATAAGGATACCAGAAATGACCACTCCATCCTGCCTTTTCTGATTAGATGACCAGATGCCAATCCAGTCTGGAAGAGTTGCATATTCCAGATTTTTTGTTTGTTTTGTTTTTCTATAGGTACATACACATTATTATTAATCATTATTCTGAACTTGTTCTCATTTTATTTCTCTAAGTTTTACTGTGACCACATATGCCCAACTTTGTTGCAAAAGCTGTGGCACAGGATGTGTATTTATACAATAGCTACTTGTTTTAGCTTGTGTTTGGTGAAGAAATCCTTAATTAAATACAGATTATAAATCTGAAATTATACCTTTTTTTGCTAAAAAGAAGCTAAAGTTGAGAGTTTGTATTATGTGTTTTCATCACTTATGGTCATTTCTAGGAAGACTTAATTAATTTTGTATCTTCTATAGATTATTGCGAACAAAGCATTTAACCATTAACTAAATGTTAAGATGAAGCACAGAGGTGCATTCAAAAGCACGTGATGAAAAGGTGCATGATGTGTGTATTGCATTCCACAGTTACACACAATTACATAAACATGAAGTGTTGCATTCCTCAGGAGAGTCAGGAGAAAGGAGCTTGTCCTGTTTGGATTAGCTTGCAGAACAGGCTGTGCCATGGGCAGTTACCTATACTAATGCTTAAAATAGGTTTGGATGTGCTTACTGGCCTCAAGGCCCATAGGCACAATTGCACATGTACATTTCAACGCCTTTTACCTTCCAAGTTAAGAGTACAGATACAAACTACTTGGTGATACAAACTACAAGTGATCCTTGACTGATGTGAGCCACCACATCATGCCTAAGAATGGGGTTTGGCAATTTCGACTTGGCACAGCCAAAGTGATGACAGAATGTGACTTTTACATTTAAGGAGTGTGAACAGGCAGTGTGTCCAGCTCCCAGATTCAATTCCCAGTCTTGTTTTATTTACCAATGGAGAAGTGGTAATGACTATTTAATGCTCCTTCCTTAGAGTGAAGTAGCCTGTACTGATGGGAGGTTTGGGGAAAACTGAAAACTCTTGAGCCCTCCTTGAGCTGATGTGATTATCTCTGATCCTGTAGCAAGATCTGAGCTTCACTAGGAAAATCCTCATCTTTACTTAGTTGAAAAATAAATAAAAGTAGAGAAATGTAAACTATAGCAATATTCTGATTGTAAAACTAGTCTGCACTGTGAAATTCAGAGCACTACACAGAGGTTGTGGAAATTGTGTTTTTCTCAGGTTGTGCATGTCTAAGCTACAGCTCGGAAGGGGCCTCATACCCATTTTTAATGTATGTTATTTGAGTCTGAGATTTAGAGAAGACCTGCTGTGGGTTTAACTATGGGCCAGCATTTGTAACCCTCCTCTTGATACAAAATAAGGCAGTGAAAAAGAGAAAGTTTATAAAGGCCAAGTATGTTATAATAATGGCATAAGCTGTTTTTGAAGCAGATATCTCTTCGGGGCTGTGGAAAGCAGAGCAGCCATACAGTGGCTATGATGCTGTCTGACACAGTCGTGGCAGAGTTACTAGTTTGTGGTGTTGACACATTACAATAAAGCTTTAGGTGGGTTAATAGCATAACATTGGAATAGAGTGTGTATGTAAGATTTTCAAGCCATAATGAGTATTCTTAAGATTACCTAAGGCATTGTAAGTATGGAGTTTCTGATGCCTAACTCTGCTGTCCTTAGGTGAATGATGAACAGTTCCCAACAAATCCCCTTAAATGGAATAAGAGCATGAAAAATATGATGCCAGATTGAAACGTGCTGGTTGCTCCCTTCTGCCCTAAGTATTGCTTAGTTAAATTTAAATCAATATTTGTTATAAAAGTGTGAAGTCAAGGATAGAAACATCTGAATAACAGTAATCGATGATATCTTCCAGGTATTCAGTCTTTTGCTATAATCAGAAAAGATCTACTTTGGTCTTCAAACCTCACCAAGGATAAAATTAGTAGGATCTTCTTTACAAGCTTTAATATCTAATTTTATTTTTATTTTTTTTCATACTTTCAAAGTAGTTTCTTTTACATGAACTGTGAATTTGATGCAATGACATGAAAAGCTTTATCTATTGCTTTGTTTTTGAATTTACATGGGCAGAAAGATCACAAATTTCCTGTAAATTGGTATAAATAACAAGTCAGTACTAAGTACTTCCCTAAATGTGAATTTCTTCAAATTGAGAGCAGTAAAAATGGTTTATTTCTTATGTTAAATTTAATGTTTCTGTAAATATCAATCACCTAATTATATTAACATTGTAAGCAAAGCTGTTAAAATAATCTTTCTTTTCAAATAATGAGTTTTATTAACTTCTTAAATGCTTCTTGTCAAACAACACTGTAATTATTTACATAAGATAGTTGTAAAAGGGTTCTGACTGTGTGCTTTTATGTAAAGATTTCAAGATTTACCTGATACCTTCTTATTCAGTTAATTTTAAATAGTCTCTCTTCTTATGTAAGTAATGAGTTTATACCAAAAACATCAAACATTTCAAAATCCAAATGAGATCTAAGTTCTGGTCATGTTAATAGTTTTGTACTAATCTTGAGGAAAGAAACAGAGAGATACTGACCTGCTGGAGTGGCAGCTGTTTCCATGTCAATTTTATGCACCTGGCTTGGACTTTGATCTTACATGTTTTTGTGTGAAAAGAATGGTAACTCAGGCAAAGCTCTTAGCAATTCCAACCTCTTCCAATATGTGTAAAGTGTAGGACATGATCCCACGAGAGGCATAGCAAGCAATGACACAACAAATCTTTGCCTTAGCAGAAGGCTTTGTCAGCAAAAAGCTCTAACACACCATGGTCTAGACACTGAAGGCATACAGTTTTTGCTATGGAAGGATTAAGCATACGAAACAGTGCACCTAGGGAGGTTGCATCTGTTAAAATTTATAGACTAAACCATGATGTTTTTTTCTCCTGTTAAGGAAAAACTATAGTTCTACCAGTAAATTTTTTGCTTTATGCAGGAGATACCAGGGAATATTTGTTTTATAGATCATTCTGACTATCACTAGGCTTAGTATCTAACAAAAAGGATGGAACTTTTTCATGTCTAATTAAGTGACCACTATGAATTTCCTTCAAGGTTTTCAGTATATCATTTGCTCTTTAGTTATTATCTAGTTCTTTCTTAAGTGAGAGTTAAATCCATTTGTCCTTATGTTTTAAGTGAGATGATAAGAATTCTGAGTATAAGCAGTTACACTCCAGTTTGTCATTGACTGCAATACATGGAGGAACATGATCTGCCCTTACTGTAGCACAATTATGATCAGCTTCTTCTTCATTACCTTTGTGGGCAATAGGTATAAAAAGGCATTTTGATAAACACTCCTCCCCCAAATATAACAAAAACATCTTTTACCAAATCTGTAGGTTTCTTAAAAAGATTTTTTTATGTGTTTGAACCAATTTTTCCTAACTTTATTTTGCTTTGTATCACAGATATCTCTCTTATCTTTGTTAAGCACTACTGTCAAAAGCACTTTTTTTAAAGGAAAACAATAGACAAGTAATTTGACAGTGTGAAATCTATAAAACATATAGATATACTAATTTTCAAACAAGTTTTTAAGCAAAATGCTGAGGCATACAAAATTGATATATTTGATTTTATTTAGTTTGCTTTAGTTTTGAAGGGTTTTGGGTTAGAAAATAATATGATCATTTTCTTTTCATCTTTAGCTGCTCCTAGACAATGCATTGAACTACACTTTGATGAAAAATATTCCATAGAGCCTTCTTGGGAGTGTAAATTTGACCATATTGAAGTACGAGATGGACCTTTTGGCTTTTCCCCAATCATTGGACGTTTCTGTGGACAGCAAAATCCACCTATGATAAAATCCAGTGGCAGATTCCTGTGGATTAAATTTTTTGCTGATGCTGAACTAGAATCTATTGGATTTTCTGCTCGGTATAACTTTACACCTGGTGAGTACACATCATCACACTTTTTAATAGAAATAGCTTAACATAGTAACTTTTCCAGTGAAGTGTAATCATACTGTTGAACAATATCTTTAACTGAGACTATTTTTATTATCAAGGAAAGTATTATTAGATAGGACAGTGATAAAGATATGTATCTTTAACATAAAAAGTAAGGCTTTTACAAGGAAGTAATTTTCAGACTGCAGTTTTTAAAAGTATTGTTTTCAATTGAATTCTATTACAGAAAAGCATTCAAAATGTTAAGTGGGAAGTTCTGTGTTTTATACTTGATGGTTACACTGTACAACTTTTCTTTCAAAAAGATCATTGATAAAGTATTCTAATAAAAAAATGTAATTATGTCAGAAAATTCCATCATTGCTTTTCCACTTCACCAATCATTTCCCCAGCTGAGGAGTGGAATAGTTTTCCCTTCTCAATAAAGCAAACTATTACAAGTATTGCCAGAGGAAGTGCAAGATTCATATAGTAACATGTATTAAATATTTCTCTAAAAAGCCTGTAAATATTAATTGTAATTACACACTTATTTCTCGTCACTTTTTAAATTTAATTCATTAAAGTGAAACAAAATTCATATTCATACTTCCTATTAATTCCTTTCCTCTCCCACTTACCAGCAAAAGATTGCTGATTTTAAATTTCTTTTTTGGCTGCAGCTACACTGTACAGCACTGCACTGCACTACTGGATTTGACGTAGTTCTGTACCTTCTTATGTATTGAGTGATGAGTCATACTTTAATATAGCATGGTCTAAAGTGCTGTAATTATTACATGATTTTGTCAATTATGTCACTATTGTTTCAGCTAACTTGTTGTATTAGGTCAAACAACATTCTTTAGAATATCTCCTAAAATTAGCAGACCTGAAATTCTTCTTCCTTAATTATTCCAGGGGCCTCACAGAAGATGGCAGGAGTGCTTGCTCTATGTGTCTCCTCTATGTAGTTTTCTTTCACTAATGCAAGGAAAATAGTTATGGAATCAACCAGCATAGTTCAGTTTTCTTTCAAGTCAGGGATACTGTTTTGCAGAGGGTAAACATATTTAGAAGGTTCAAACAGCAACAGAACACAGAATTTCTGCAGCAAATAGCCTGAGAGCTAGATATATGTATCTATTATTGTAAATTCAAAGACAGTGGACAAAATTTTGCATATTCACTCTGTAAAGTGAGTTAAACTTTTAGCTCTCATTTACCATGGACCTGTGGGCTTTTACCCTTTCCCCACCCTGTGCCAAAAGTTCTTTGCTTTACATTTCTTGTCTTATTTGTTTCAAAGAGTTATGCATTTTGGTTGAAAAGATGTTCATATCACTACCTGCAGCTTATTCTGTCTAAAAAACTCTCAGGTAAAAGACAATTTCATGGATCGTATTTTATCCTCATTCTTTTTCTACTGTTGTAAGGAGAATTTCTACACAGAGATCAATGCTGGTAAATTGCCACAGCAGCATAATTTATTCTAGACTTCAAATGGAATAGCTATCTTTTTCCTTTCTTCTTTCTCATCCCCCCCCTGCTCCCCCCATATATTTCAATAGAAAGCTCTGAAAATAATAGAGGATTTCTAGGAATACCGGCCAAAATGAGAATATGATTAATCTGACAAATGCAAAACAGTACTGCTGCCTTCTCGATCACTGGTAACAAGAAGCAGTTTGCATTCAACAGGATTACTCAAACAGTCTTTTTTTATGTAGGCATGGATAAGACGTGACCTTTTGTGATCTATTGTCCAAATGTGTGCAGTGGGAAGGGTCGCTCTCAATTCATAAAAATGAGTGATGGTTTTCAAGAGTGTATACAAGTAGCATAGGGAGGACTCCACTACAGAAATTATCACTTAAACCACCTAGATCCATCTTAGGTAGTGAAAACTTATGAAATTAAACTATGAACAAAGAAGATAATTTTTGGCTAACCTCTCTTTAAAGAACACGAAAATGATCCAAAGCAAAAACTCATTTGGAAACTATCACTGTCTAGAACCACTGAATGCTCAGGGGAGGTGGGTTGCCACCCATATGACTTGTCGAAAGCAGAACACTGTGCCTAACTGCAATCTGCATAGAAGGCTTTCTTCATCCCAGTGACAAGTGTAACAGAGCTATTTCTCTAGTAACAACAAACTTTGAGGGTCCCCACCCACCCATGGAGTGTTTCTCATATGCCACTTTTGAATTTGAGGTCTTGATGGAGGCTCTGGTTTGATGATAAAGAGATGTGACATTAAATGTGTGGGCAAGATTTAAGAAAAAAAAACCTAAGTAAATTTGACTAAATTGAAGCTGCAAGCATTTATTGTTATTTGAATGGCACCTGGAGAAACAGGGAAAGAAATTATTTACTATGTCTCCAGAGTGTATAAAAACTGGATGAAGTTGAAAATAAGATCAATTAGGGTACCATGAAAAATGTTGCAATGAAGATCTATTAGTCTGTGCAAATGGAAACAACCCTGGACCCAAGGCATTTTAAAACTAGTTTGGACTAAGTCTTTCGAAAAGAAAGTATAAAGAACAATCCTAAGGAATGGACTAATATTTTGCAATTGCTAGAACTTTTCTGTTCAATAATTTCTTTGACTCCTTGGTATTGAAATGGTTGGAAATCCATCCACTGATGCAAAAGTCCAGTAGGGACAGGAGGTTTAGGCATTTTGAAACTAATGCAACTCTCTTATCATAAATTCTGTTCCATTTAAATAGACTTGTTCAGAGCTCTTTTCAGCAGTCTAAAAGGTGAGATCAAGCAGAACAAATAACTTTAATGACAAAATCAGAGCTACACACAAAGCCAATACAAACGCACCCAGTAAGTGGTAAAACTATTGACAGTTTTTCAGAATCAAAGTTCATATTAAGAGAATAATTTAGGTTTTAATTTTTGTGATTTTATAAAGTATAGGATTAAGCAAGGTGTGGATGAATGAAGCTGTATGTGTGGTTTAAGGATAGACTATTTTCAAAGCCAAACTTTGAGTTAAGGGGAAAAGTAGTCATCTTCTTTTACGTTATTACAGCTGAATACCAGTAATAACGAGATGAAATATGGATGTAAAGTACATTTTCAACCATTTTGTACACATGAGAGTTTATAAGCAAATCAAAACTTACTTATTTTTATATACTATTTTAATTTTAGTTTTTATTTTTAAATTCTGATTAACTGTGATCATTTCAAAATAGAACTATCTGAACCTATGAAACCTTTGTAAATGTGTACAAACATTTTGTTGGCTTTTTTTGTTTCTCTGATCTGATGTATTAAAAAAGTACATATCAGACTACGATACGTTCTATTTACTCTCTTTAATTTTGAATTCAGATGTGATTGGCTAGATAAAGACCCATGAGGCAAGTGCAATGATAATTTGCTCTTCCTCCTGGTCTGCCATTCTTCAGGCTGTTGAAAGGCCTACACCTGAAATTTCATTTCACAGCTCTGGGTCCTTTGACTCAATCTGTTACACTCATTTTTCCAAAAAGGTTATGTCTCAGGACTATTTTCCAAAATGATGGTGAATCACTGTTTAGTGTAGAAAAAATTAAAGTACTACTTCAAAGGGACTTACAATGACAAGTATTCTTTAAAATGAGTCATTTTTTTATTGTAGACAAGGATTCAGACAGAGAGAGGCTATGTTTATTTGAGCTTTCTTACTCAGCTAGAATAATCAGATTTCTGTTTATCCTGGTCCCTGATTTTGCAGGACAGTGGCTTAAGATAGCACATCATTACTTTCAGTTCCTTTGCTTAGTAGAAGCCATCTGTGTTTTTATTTAGCCTCATTGATATAAACGTCAGTCAGTAGTGTTTTCTGTTCAACTGCCTGATAATGGAAAAAGAAAAAAATATTTATGCTCACATGTTCCTAAAAGTTGAGTATAAAACACTGTCTAATCAGAATAACAGTACTTTACATCCCTATTGCAGTGAATGTCAGAGTAATAGAATAATTGCATTGTCTATCTTGAGGGAAAAAAAAATGCAAACGGCCCAAATTCTTTCTGGTTGGGGAATTTGCACATTTTAGACCTCATGAAAAATTTAATGTGAATTTCTTAAATTGAATCACAGTTCTAAAGAACTTAGATAAGAGATTGTCAAATCATTTTACCACCTAATGCCCATGTCCTTCCTTGTATTTAAGGAAGAGATGTTTCCCAGGCGTCTATGACAACCAAATACTTGTGTAAACTTGCTTAGTTGTTTGTATTTATTTGTTTATGTTCCTGTTCTCTTCCAAACTGGTCTGATTGCTTCTAAATTAGTCAGCAGTGACAATCACTTTTAACCAACTTGCAGTCCAGTTAAGGTTTTTCAGAACTAGCAAACAATGTGGCTTTGAATGTGGCAATACCTTTTCCTTTGGGATCAGAGTTGGTTTGAAAGTAGGAGAAAATGTAACTCTTTATTTGAACTTTTGAGCCAGAACCTCCTGATGTTACAAAAAACTTAAAAAGTGTGAATCTCATTTATCGAGGTAACTAGTCCTCAGCACTTCAAATTTTTATAAGCAGTTTGATTTATGAACTTTTAGTGTGTTCATACAAGTGTACTTCATAAAAGTCAGGCTCCTCATTGCTGTTCACAAGGCACGAGGGCATCTGGTCTTGTGAGTGAGAAGGAATTTCTCACGTGTAGGATCATGCATTACATTGACAATCATGATCAGTTACATGAATAATGTCTTTTCAAGGGAATTTGTTTTGTGCTGTCCTATAGATTTCATTATCTTATAAGAACTGTAGGTTGAGGCCTAGAATATTTCAGTATCATAAATATGAGAATGTAATGTGATAATATGTTTATTTGAAATTTCAAGTGAAAAATAATTCCTTATGTGGAGGAAATGATTATCTAGAAGGTCTCATGGGATTCTCAGGTCCCATATTACCTCTTGTTATCACATACTTACATTTTTCTTTTGACAATACCCAAAAGGCAACTTACAGAATTTCCTGGTTTAG